TTGATAACTCCAACCGTTTAATTGTTGATGAGCTGAGATATAATCGTGAATCCGACTTGGAAGAATTGCATGCAGAGTGTATACAAAAGCTAACAGCTGAGCAAAGAGCTATATACGATGAGATCACCGGTGCTGTTTTTAATGATTTAGGTGGAAGCTTTTTTGTTTACGGATTTGGAGGAACGGGAAAAACTTTTCTTTGGAAGACACTATCAGCTGCAATTAGATCTAGAGGACAGATTGTTCTTAATGTCGCCTCCAGTGGCATCGCGTCTTTGTTGTTAGAAGGTGGTAGGACTGCACATTCAAGGTTTGCAATACCATTGAATCCTGACGAATTTTCTGTTTGCAAAATCCAACCTAAATCTGATCTTGCTAATTTGATAAAAGAAGCATCTCTTATTATCTGGGATGAAGCGCCAATGATGAGCAGGTTTTGTTTTGAATCTTTGGACAAGAGCTTGTGCGATATTATCAAGAATAGAGAAAACAAAGTCTTTGGTGGTAAGGTTGTTGTATTTGGAGGTGATTTCAGACAAGTCCTTCCGGTAATACATGGGGCAGGGAGGGCAGAAATTGTCATGTCATCACTAAATGCTTCGTATCTTTGGGATCACTGCAAGGTGCTCAAGTTGACAAAGAACATGCGACTGCTGGCAGATAATTTAAGTGCTGTTGAAGCTAAAGATATTCAAGAGTTTTCTGATTGGTTATTGGCTGTTGGTGATGGTCGAGTTAATGAACCTAATGATGGTGAGGCACTTATCGATATTCCAGAAGAATTGTTGATTACAGAAGCAGAAAAACCAATAGAAGCAATCAGTAAGGCAATTTATGGAGAACCATCACAACTCCACACAATCACTGATCCTAAGTTCTTCCAAAGGAGAGCTATTTTGGCACCAACCAATGATGACGTCAACACAATAAACCAATATATGCTAGAGCATTTGGAAAGTAAGTCATCTATTTTACCCACAAATCTATATCACGTTTTCAATTTTAAAAAAAAACCTATAGCTAAGTACACGTTGATGTAATTATTTGATTGTAGGTGACGAAAGAATCTACCTAAGTGCTGATAGTATTGATCCATCAGATTCGGATTCATTGAACAATCCTGTAATCACTCCAGATTTTTTAAATAGTATCAAGCTTTCTGGTTTGCCACACCATGCTTTACGTTTGAAGATTGGAGCTCCGATTATGTTGCTTAGGAATATTGATCCAAAAGGTGGGCTGTGCAATGGCACTAGGCTTCAGATTACTCAGCTAGGCAATACTATTGTGCAAGCTAGAGTAATCACAGGAGACAGAATTGGTGAAATAGTTTTGATCCCTAACATCCTCCTTACACCTTCAGATACCAAGCTGCCATTCAAGATGCGCAGAAGACAATTTCCACTTTCTGTTGCATTTGCTATGACCATCAATAAGAGCCAAGGACAATCTCTAGAGAAAGTTGGACTTTACTTGCCTAAACCCGTGTTCTCTCATGGTCAACTTTATGTTGCGTTGTCAAGGGTTACCTCTAAAACGGGATTGAAAATTCTAATACTCGACAAAGAGGGCAAGATTCAAAACCAAACAACAAATGTTGTTTTCAAAGAGGTTTTTCAAAACATCAACTGACTCAAATATTGTCAGTCTTTGCTATGTATCATCTGGAAAGGTAAATTCACTTTACCTTTATGTCTTAGTAATTTCAATATGGTTACGAATTCAAACAATCACTAAGTAATATGTTTCTTTTTTTTATAACACTCATGCAGGTCACACGTTAGCAACCAACTCAGGTTGTAATTAATATACTTATTTTATTTTATTTTAGACATCATACAACTATACTCTTCCTTTTAACATAAAATTCAATTTTATAGATATGTCTTCGTGTATATTTTTTTAAAACAAAGATCAACATGCTTTTCTTTTCCAATTATATAAAAATAAATTAAATTGGTTCAGTTTCAAAATCAAAGTTTTTTAAAATTCGAGTTATAACTATAGATACACAAATAGTTAATTCGTACGATGTAATTGTTAAGACTCAGTTTTGCAGAGACTCAGTTCTTCTGTCCCAACTTCAGAGACTTAATTTGAAGAGATTTTAAAAAAAATCATCAAATTAACATAATAACAAACAAGCCATGGACAATGAAACCGAACACTTCTAAGATCAGAAAAAGCAAACAATACTCTAACTGAATCAGACCTTTCACTTAATCCTAAAGAATAGAATGAAAAGCATACCGAAATAGTTTCAATCTTCCATTTTAAAAATCACAGATTATCCAGTTCAGAAAGACAGAGAACAAACCTTAGTAGCGCCTATTACGTCATGTCTTGCCTCTTAAAGTGTTGCCATTTGAATCTAATCTTCTCTTTATAATATCATGTTTCTGTAATTCACACATTGCACAAGCTTAAACATGTTTCAAACACAAAAATTGTCAATGGAGTAAGACAGTGAACAATTTCAAACATACCACGTCACAAAGCAGTTCTCCACTAATATCCATAGCATCAACACTAAGAATCGAACATGGTAGAGCAGGAAAACGTATATCGAACTACATCATCAATGAAAAGTTATAAACATGTTAATCATAAATTATCCCTTAACTTAGCTAATCGATTAAGGGATTCGTAGATAGAGAAACGGAAACGAAAAGTATAAATGAACATATCTGTTCTCTATTGGGATCGATTTAAAAAGTAAATAAGATAGATTTGCAGATTTTACCTTAGATCCATACATAGAATCGTTTGGATTTGGGGTTATGGACGATTTGTGATGAAATCTTCTATTCACAGTTCTAATCGAGAATAAAATTACAAGATTCAAGAATAAAACCAGATGGATTCCGAGATTCACTACTTTGGAATTCGCAAAACTACAGAGATTAATCGAAGATCTGAGAAGAAAGAAGCTCTCTCTCTCTCTCTCTCTACACTACTCTGGAGATAGATAGCTTTACCTCTGCTCTTTTATTTATATACACTTTCTTTTTTTTAATTCCAGAAAGCGGTGGAATTGCGCAGAGTGATATAACGTGTCGTAATTCTCTACCGTTGATCTGATTACCTCTGCAACGTCCGATTACTAAATTAATTTTGTTTTAAGACAAGAAATACCACGTGGGCTGGACTAACGTGCTTGGCCTTTTAAAAAATTACGTACCTGGTCTTTTTTTCTGATTAACGTATCTGGTCCTAAGCTTTTTTCATACGTGGCACTGGACTGGCGTTAATTCATTCGCTTTTTTTTGCCCTCTGCGTTTCACGTTTTTTTTTTTTTTTGTGGATAATTTTCTGCGTTTCGAAGTTTTGTTGTAACGAAAAGTCGAAAACGTTGAGTCTCTCTCTCTGCTTGCCGCTGTGGACGGCCAATACAAATATTTATAGAAATTAATCTAAACATTTTTGGATTATATATAATAAATTAGATTTGAACCCGCGGTACACCGCGGGGCTATATTTTTCTTTATTAATAAAGAAAATAATTTATATTTTAATTTTTAAAAAAAAATATAGCCCCGCGGTGTACCGCGGGTTCAAATCTAGTTCAAAACTTAAAACGACAAGCGATTTCTTTTTCTGTCTAAAATATATAATAAATTTCCCAAATAAAATAAAATGAGGACAATCTTTTTGTTTTTTACTCTTTTATTTCTTGTTTCATCATGTAAGTTTGTTTATCACGATTAAATTGAAGAGATTGCGTATATCATGTATTTTCAATAGTACATATATTGATTTAGTTATATGATGTTTATTTAAAATAATTTTTTTAATAGGTGTATCAGATGTTATGGAGAAAAGTAATTCAGAAAGAAAAACTCCTTCTAACCATGTAGGAAGCCCTCAAATTCCACCATCCATGTATCATGCAGAGAACGAGGATACTGATTTTCCTGGTAGTAGATGTGCAATGTGTCGATTTGATTGTTTGGTTGCACAAAACAGGTATATGGATTATTGTAATCTACATGATGGTTGTCATTGCGGTTCTGAAGTAGACTTTAATTATAGACGAGATTAAAATCATAAAAGAATATAGTTGCCTATTATAAAAGAAAAAAAAAAACAAGATACTTTATATCAACTTGATTTTTCTTGTTTCTGCATCAATCCAACTATTATCTTTACGTATATACAATGGACCGAGCAGAAAAAGAGATAGAGATACCATTAGCCTATATACTCAAACTAATATCTCTGTTCAAATAATTTACAACAGCCCACTAAATGATCTACACTTCAAATATATTTTCAATTTGGGCTTATCTAGGCCCGTAGTATCACTTTTGTGAAACGATCAAAAACCAAGTGCATTGGTTAATTTGAATGAAGTCTTTTAAATTTTGATACGTAACAACAACATATATGTAAGCATTTGAGCTTCATCAATTCATCAAAAATGTTTACGTCTCAAATACCGAAAAACCAAAAACTAGCTGTGTCTGGAAATTTTATAAAAATATGTAGGCAATTTAGAACGAGACAACACTTATGAAAAAGAAGAGATTGTTTTCTTACCCTCTTCCAAATTGAGATACTGATAATTGTATGATTTTATTTATTTTCAAATTACATGTAAATTAATATTCGACCGTAGCATATACGCCGAAACCATAAAATCATGTAACAAACCATAAACTTAGTCGGAAGGCATTCCAAACTCGGGATAGACAGAGTGGTAGCCCGTAAGGGCCTAACCGTTAACACGGTGGACCAGTCCACTATGTAGCACCACGGTGTGTTCCTACCGGGGCCGACCGGATAGCCGATAGGGTTTATCAAAAAAAAAAAAAAAAAATGTAACGTACAGTCGCATTAACAGAAAAGTCATCATAATAACAAAACAAAAACGTATGTATAACCAAAACCATCATAGGCATACAACATACATGATGAATGGTCATTTACTCATTTATCATCATCATCATCATCATCATAAATCATAACCGACTCCAAAAATAATTATTTTCGTTAAAGACTATAAATACAAACGAAAGGTTTCATCTTTCTCTCCCATTTCCTCCGACTCTTTCTCTACCCACTTCCTTCTCCCACTACTCTCTCACTAACCGAGTCATCATGGGCGAGGTACTACTGAGTCAAAAACGCTCTCTTCTCTCAACATTCTCGAATCTTCTCTCTCGTTTTTCCTCCATAAAAATCTCTGCTTTTTATTTGGATAATAATGGGTTTCGTTTGCTCACTCTGTTTTGTTTCTGAGCAGAAGAAGAACGAAGGAGATAACAAGAAGAAAGGTGGAGATAACAAGAAAAAGAACGAAACGCCGTCAATCACCGTCGTTTTGAAGGTCGACATGCATTGTGAAGGTTGTGCTTCTCGAATCGTCAAATGTGTTCGTTCTTTCCAAGGTTTGATTTTTTTCATTATTTACCAAAAAAGTTTCCATTTTTCATATTCAGAACGTTGTAAAATCCTTATTCCACGGAATCTGTTACTGGGTTTTCGGAAAATCGCTACTTTGTTGGGTTGAGTTACTGAAAAATGTGTCTTTTAGGTGTTGAGACGGTGAAATCGGAGTCGGCTACAGGGAAACTTACGGTGACCGGAGCTTTAGATCCGGTGAAACTGAGGGAGAAACTTGAAGAGAAGACAAAGAAGAAAGTCGATTTGGTTTCTCCTCAACCCAAAAAGGAAAAAGAGAAAGAGAACAATAAGGACAAAAACAAAAACGATGAAGACAAAAAAAAATCAGAGGAGAAGAAGAAACCAGACAACAACGAGAAGAAACCCAAAGAGGTAGCCAAAAATAAATAATCAAATCTCTTTGCTTTTTAGTTTTTACTATATTGTTTTTATCTGTGAAGAATCTGATTCTCAAAATGTTTTTTTGTTTGCTGATTAGTATAATGTGAGGATGTTTCTTTGTTTTCTGATTACAACTAATTTTGTAATGATTATTATAGACTCCGGTAACAACGGCGGTATTGAAGCTGAACTTCCATTGTCAAGGTTGTATCGGGAAAATCCAAAAGACTATCACAAAAACCAAAGGTTAGAGACAAATCTGTACGATTCGCGTTTTCAAAACGCAATTTTGGGGCAACGCTTCGTTTGCTTGCTAACAGCGTTTTTGTGAAGCGCAGGTGTTGATGGTTTAACAATGGATAAAGAGAAGAATTTGGTGACTGTTAAAGGAACAATGGATGTTAAAAAACTCGTTGAGAGTTTGAGTGAGAAGCTGAAACGTCAGGTTGAGATTGTGCCGCCGAAGAAAGAGAAAGAAAATGGTAACGAAACTGGCGAGAAGAAGAAAGGTGGCGGCGGAGACGGTGGTGGAAAGGAGAAATCCGGTAACAAAGGAGGTGGTGAGGGAGTGAATATGATGGAGTACATGGCGGCTCAGCCTGCTTACGGGTACGGGTATTATCCGGGTGGGCCTTATGGATACCCGATTCAAGCCCACGCGCCGCAGATTTTTAGCGATGAGAATCCGAATGCTTGTGTTGTTATGTGAAGCGGCGGCGGAGAAATTGGAAAGTGGTAGAGAATGTAAATAAGCCATAATCTTTGGGGGTATTTTTGGTATTTTTCTTCTTGGGATTCTGCTACGGTTTTAGTTTTTAATTTCTCCCTTTTTTGGTTTATCTAGCTGGGCATATTTAATTACTCCACTTCAAAGTTTAAACATGCAAATATATCCAAAGAGATTTAATATTTTCTTTTTCCTTGTCTAGTTTAATTGGGAATAAATAAAAATAAGTTTAGTTAAATTGATTGTAGAAAAACCAATATGATGTATTTTATACTAATCGGGCTACATTCAAACGTTGACATGTTGAGAGTTGACAATGGTAATGAGAAGTGAGAACTATACATTGTTAAATCTGAAGAAAAATAATACTAGTAACAATTTGGGGCCTTATAAATTTAGAACCATATCGGTCCCCTCCAAGTGAATGTTGACATTCGAGAATAAAATCTCAACAAATTCGTCCAATACACAGAACTAAGCTACCAACGGTTGTATTACATTGTAGTATATTAGAGTCCTTTACTACATTTACATAAACAATTATTTAGAAACAGGTCATAAACAGAGCACTACAATTAGTAAGCAATTCTTTTGGTTTCTCTGCATTAATCACGAATTAGTCAATCGAATGTATTTTACTATAAACAACCAAGCTTTTTTTTATTCACTTGTATACAAACAAAAGTTGAGTCTTGTGGTGTCTATGTACTACACTATGTGCACAGTTTTTTTGGCCTATAAAAGTTTTACAGAGTATTAATTTTACCAAATAATGACAATACGGATACCTATTAAAATTAAAAGCGCAATGGTGAATGTCCATAAATGCTTAGTCAAAAGTACATAATAAATGCATAATCATATAACTACTACACTACCATTCTCGTCTTTTTTTGCCTTAGTAATAAATTTAGCTTACGTAGTTTCTTCTTTCCCACCACTCACTTGATTGGAAATTTCTGTTGTCTCCAATCACACTTTATTTTGTGGCCAATTATACATTAATATGTATACAACTTTACCATAAATTACATAGAAACTCTATGAGCACTCTACTTTCTTTCCTGATTAATGTTACAGATCGAATTATAAATTTATAACCCCCTTTTTTTGTTATTTTTCAAGTTGGTGATAAAGCTAGGGTTTTGAAAAAATAGTGTGTCCGTGTCTTTACGAAACTTTGAGCCAGTTGGTTGGATGGGAGTCCTCTCTTTTCCTCTGCTTCATGCCCGGCCCTCTCCCGTCTTGTAAGTTGTTACTGTTTTAATATATTATTCCTAAGTTTTTGGACACATTTGAGTCCATATAAACTAGTACATCATGTACTTTATATTAATTTATTATTTATAAAAACACGAAATTTAATATATGAAATCAACGGTGGAGGGTATATGACTATATGAATCGAACCATTGCCGATTCGAGAAAACAAATTAAGAAATAAAGCAACAACCTAATAATAATGGATATGAAACTATTTTAAGAGTGTTGTTGCTAACATAAAAGACGAAATTTCGTTAGTATTCAGTTCTTATTAATTAACATATATTAAGCCGACTATATTGAACTAAAAATCTATTGATTTATTTCTAGATTTAGCTAAGGCATATATACACCTACATTTTAAATTCATACAAGGTTAGTATATTTGGTACTATATACTTGCTCTTTATCTGGTAAACTACAGGTGAAAATCAAATTAAATTAGCATTGTTTTGGTCAAAAAAAGAAGTTTAGTTTATATGAGAACGAATTCGATAGGTAAGTCAACATATAGTGAATGCCAACCCATGACATCAATGCTCACATTACTATTTATTTCCTTTTACTCTTTAATGGTAACGTAAAGCCAAAATTTATTTATTTATTTATTGTATAAAAATAGTCATTAATAAGAAATTTATATTAACATCAATATAGTCGTCGTATTCATGTTTTTATTGTGCATGTGCGTTTGATGCGACATCTCGTTCAATATTAATTAACTAGTAATACATGCATGAACATGTGTTTGAGAATTTGTGATCATGATACGGGGTGCTTCATGCATCATCATGATTTTTCATGATGATCATCATACATGTTAGTTTCAAAGTTCCAACTTTCTTTTCTAGGAAAGTTACATTCGAGTTCGAGGAAACTAATGGATTTATAGATAAATCATATAAAAGTAACTAATAAAGCTTTCAACACGCTCATAAATTTCATTCTCTTTATCCTTTTTTCTTAAAATAAAATAATGTCTAGAATATTTTTTTGTAGGAAACCTTTTTCCACTTTACAAAAATAAAAAAAGTTTTATCATATCCGTTAATTAAGCTATAGTTGTCGAAAAGTAAACTTGATAAGCAGCTTTCTTTGTATTCCAAAGTACATCGTAGTTTTTAAATTGAGATTGAACACACAAAAAAAAAACTAAATATAGTGGTGGTTTAGTAGACCTAGTCATTCCGACTTACAAAGTCCCACTACTAATTCTACATTTTGAAGATTCATTCACATTGTTTATATCATGGTTAATTTGTATAATCGGACATGGTAGGAAATAAATTAAATTCTATAGATTAGTTGAAAATGGTAAAGCAAGAAAGAATGTTATAATCCAAAGGAACTCACTAAATCAATTATTGTTTGCTGATATAAGAAGAGTTTGGTCGAGAGAAATAAGAAAATAGTTTACGAAGAAGACACATGATTTTCCTATTTACATCTTTGTATCAATAATTAAAGTTAGTTGCAAAACAAGAGGTCGTTCTTTATGATACATTTTGGTTAATGAAATGACTAAAATATTTTACAAAATTCAAATGGGTTAGTTATGATAAATTGATAATATTTTTTTTTTTTAAAAGTAAAATAAATTAGGGATTAAAATGATTCCCTTGGTATTTTTTTTTTGTTGCATAGGCTTGATGATTGTCGTTGGTTCTTACCACGTGGGCTTTAGTAGGGCATGCCAAGAAAAGTGGACCAAAAGACCATAAAAAAAAAAAAGATAAAAGATAAAAGAGAAAAGAAGAAGAACAAAAAAAGATAAAGAAAAAGGGGAAAATAAAAGGAGAAAAAACACACTGGAAGATGTTATTGATTTATAATGCAAATCATAATTCGGATAGAACAAGAAAAAACGAAACTGTGGCCAGAATATTCGAGGATTCTTTATTCCATGCATATATAATTTGTTGTTTTCATGAAGCACTTTCTTCATATAAATTATCATTTTACATGCAGTACTATGCAAAAATTAAATTACTATGCTTTTACCAAATCCAAAAGCGAGTGTTGCTTTCCTTTGATATGAATAATAAAAATGTTTTTAAACTTTAATCTTAAAAATCAATTGATAATAAAGAAAACTTATGGCCTTGCAAAAAACTTATTTGGTATGTCTATTTCCAAATGTTTTCAATATGATATGTCTCAAATTGACTCATCTATCTTGAGTTTAGTCCTATTTGTTGGACCATATAGATCTTTGGATTTGTTGGACCATGATGACATAAAAGTTTACTAAGTTCCATTTCATAGCCATTTAGTTATGGAATGTAAAACACATTACAATATTAGAGATCTATTTACCCTACATTTACAATATTCAGATATATATATATATATATATATATATTTATTTATTTATATTTATCATTTTAGGATTTATATCATCCATCATATCAAACCAGTGGTCAATAAAGAAATAAATTTCAAATTATCGATTGAACTATTATCATTTATAAACAAATTTGATCAATGTCTATAGACATAATAACTCATAAGTACACAAAACATAGGCTCTATTCACAACAACACCTTCTTGCACAAGGAGGTAATAATGAGGTCCACAACAATGAAAAAGGAAAAAGAGAAAGACATTTAGCCTTTCTAGGAGTCAATGCTTTGCCTTTTTTTTTCTTTCCTCATCTTCTCATTTTTTTTCTCAGCTTCGGTACTTTGTGAAATTTCTATTTGATTTGATTTCTTCTATACACTAATTTCCAAACTTCTTTTGCAATGAGTGAATGAGGATAAGGTCGAAGAAGTTTCTTCTTCCTTGGAAAACAAATTTCAAAATCCAATATGAAAACATTATTTTTCTTACGGAGACATAACTCATTTGACGGTTTCGTTGAATCTTCCTCACAGACCAGACGAGTAAAGTTGACTTGAAATATTACAGGTCAATAACTCAAGTCTTTTGTTTTTAGTTGGTTTTCTCTATTTATGATTCTAGATGAAATAAGCTATAAATAATTTCAATTTTTTTTTGGTTTAAGTTCAATTAGCCAGAGATAAATCTAACTGTATTTTTTTTAGTCATGACGAAATTTTGTTTTTGGGGGCAAACATTACAATATAAATTCAAAATACACATATCTAACTTACAAAATTGCGTAAGGCATTTGGAAAAATTAATTACAAAGTTTAAGAAATGATGAAGATCTTTCTGATACATCTCATCGAGTGAACATTCCATCTACTAGGAGATCTTCAACTTCCAAGTCGAATCAGCTTTTCTTCTGTTTACAAGAATAACTATTCAACTTGTATACTCGTGAATACCTACATTAATTCTACAGTCTATCTACAACATCAAATAGAACACAAAAGCTGATAGAATTTAATGGATATGACCTATCAATATCATGTTCATCATCATGGATGAGTTTCTTACTTACATATGCGTGGATTCTCAAGACTGTAGACTGCAACAAATATGCAAAGCACATGTGAAAAAAGTCACTTGAACTACAACAATAAAACCAAACATTTTCATTCACAAAACAATAAAACCAAATTAATGTAGCGTCTTGGTTTAGAGTTCCCAAAACATTTCCTAAACCAACCTAGTAGCCCAAAAATTATCTATTACTAACACTTATACCTCAATTTTTTGTTTATGTTTATTGATTTTTTTTCTTTCTCAAATGACCCAAATAAGATTATTTTGTTGATTGTAAAGAAGTTTGCAAAAACAAGCCTATATTATAGTTGCAAGTCCGAATCATTGGAAGAATATATAAGACGACCTAAGAAAAAGCCGTGGGCTTACAATTCTTCACTTCTGGATCTTTACCAGCTACTATTGGGCCTTTGATATTTAAAGCCCATATAAAAGAAGCACATTATTCGGGACCGACCAAAGTGAAGTAGGTGTGTTGTGTTCTGATACGCAACTGAAAATCTAGAAAGCAAACTCAGTGTCACCGTACACGTGGCACACCCAGAACAATCGTCTCTTATAAATACCGATTCTTCCGCCTCGCGTCAACAGAAACCACCATTAACCCTAATTTTTGCCGAACTCTTGTCTTCTGCTGAAAACCCTAGATCTACAGATCTCCCGAATCTCTCAGGTAAATTTTTTACTATTTCCTCTTCCACGATTTGTTGATTCCACGATCTGTTTCGTATTCTCCATGGTTTGGATTTGATTTTTTTTTTTTGTTTCTCAGGGAGATATTTGAAGATGGTGTCTGACGCTAGCAAGAAGAAGGCAGCTCAAAAGAAAGCCGCCGCCGCCGCTAAAAGAGGTGGTAAAGCTGCTGCTTCTTCTAAATCCGCCGCTACTTCCTCCAATGGAGTTGATAGCTTGTCGAGCGGTGTCGACGCTCTTCAAATTTCTGATCGGACTTGTACCGGAGTTCTCTGTTCTCATCCCCAATCTAGGGATATTCGAGTAAGTCCTCTTATCTGGTTTCTGTGATTTGATTTGGAAATTTAGATTTGTGCCCTCTGATCTGTGAATATTTATTTAGAGAATCATTAGTTTGATTGCTTATATTTTGTATCCTCTGTTTTTTTGATGGAATTGGTTTATAATCTGTTTGCAGATAGAATCTCTGTCTGTGACGTTTCATGGTTATGACCTTATTGTTGATTCAATGTTGGAGCTTAACTATGGAAGGCGTTATGGTCTGCTTGGGTTGAATGGTTGTGGAAAGTCCACTCTTTTAACTGCAATCGGACGCAGAGAGATACCGATTCCGGATCATATGGATATCTATCATCTTTCTCACGAGATTGAAGCTACTGACATGTCCTCCCTTGAGGCTGTTGTTAGCTGTGATGAAGAGAGGTTGAGGTTGGAGAAGGAAGTTGAAATTCTTGTTGAGCAGGTTTGTGTCAATCAATACTAGATTGGATTCTAAATTGAGCTTTATATTCGTGCTTGATGCTTATTATGGTTGTTTTTATCAGGATGCTGGTGGCGAGCGTCTTGAATCTATCTATGAGAGGTTAGAAGCCATGGATGCTGCAACCGCTGAGAAGCGTGCTGCTGAAATTCTGTTTGGACTTGGTTTCGACAAGGAAATGCAAGCTAAGAAGACGAAAGATTTTTCCGGTGGTTGGAGGATGAGAATTGCATTAGCAAGAGCTCTCTTCATAATGCCAACTATCCTTTTGCTTGATGAGCCGACAAATCATTTAGGTTGGTGATCTTTCTTCTTGTAACTTGCTTCAGATGGTTTTCTTTAGTGTTATGTTCTTATGCTGACTGTAATTCCTGAAACAGATTTGGAAGCTTGTGTGTGGTTAGAAGAGAGCCTGAAGAACTTTGATCGCATCCTTGTTGTGGTATCACACTCGCAGGATTTCTTGAATGGAGTTTGTACAAACATCATCCACATGCAGAGCAAGCAGCTCAAGTACTACACTGGTAACTTTGATCAGTATTGCCAGACTCGTTCTGAGCTAGAAGAGAATCAGATGAAACAATACAGATGGGAGCAGGAGCAGATTTCTCACATGAAGGAGTACATTGCTAGGTTTGGTCACGGTTCAGCCAAACTTGCTCGTCAAGCACAGAGTAAGGAGAAAACATTGGCAAAGATGGAGAGAGGTGGGCTCACTGAAAAGGTTGCCAGAGACAGCGTTCTCGTTTTCCGTTTTGCTGATGTTGGGAAGCTTCCACCGCCAGTGCTTCAGTTTGTGGAAGTGTCTTTTGGGTACACACCGGACTATCTCATATACAAAAACATCGACTTTGGTGTCGACTTGGACTCTAGGGTCGCTCTCGTGGGACCTAATGGAGCTGGAAAGAGTACACTTTTGAAGCTCATGACTGGTGAACTGCACCCAACTGAAGGAATGGTGCGACGTCACAACCACTTGAAGATTGCTCAGTACCATCAGCATCTGGCTGAGAAGCTAGACCTGGAATTGCCTGCACTTCTCTACATGATGAGGGAGTTCCCGGGTACCGAAGAGGAGAAAATGAGAGCTGCGATTGGTAGATTTGGTCTTACTGGTAAGGCCCAAGTAATGCCGATGAAGAATCTATCTGATGGACAAAGGAGCAGAGTGATCTTTGCGTGGTTAGCTTATAAGCAGCCTAACATGCTTCTACTGGACGAGCCAACTAACCATTTGGATATCGAGACAATTGACTCACTCGCTGAGGCATTGAACGAGTGGGATGGTGGTCTGGTTCTGGTGAGTCACGACTTCAGGCTGATCAACCAAGTGGCGCATGAGATATGGGTTTGTGAGAAACAATGCATAACTAAATGGAACGGTGACATTATGGACTTCAAGAGGCACCTCAAGGCTAAAGCCGGACTTGAAGATTGAAGATAAAGGTCGAGTCTTCTTCTCTTGATGGATAAAGGAAAAGACTCAGATTGGGTCATGCCGAGGGAGAGAGGGAAGGATATGTTTTTTTGATGGTTTTGGGAATGGTTTTTAACGAGTTCTGAAGCCACACTTGAGAGACAGCTAAACCATACTCAGTAATCTCTGCATTTCTTAAGCATTAAGAGGTCAGAGATTCTTTCTATATTAGTATTATCATCATTATCATGTCTTTTTATTTTTATTTTGTTATTGTTGTTGAACGTTTTTTTGAAGGCCAAACAGAGAGAGAAAGTAATATTTTTGGTGGTATTTGTAGGATTTTTTTTTTTGTTTTTAAGACCGAGATGTTGACGATTATGGTATTTATATTTAATATTAAAGTGAGAATCTTCTCATAATTATATTCGTATATTCGTTGGAAAAGTATCCGAATATTCCATCTTTATGTTGATTATGGAATCTTGATTCACTTACAGAATTGCACTGATAATTTCTGTGTTACTAACGTTTTGGGCTTTTGGCTCTTCTTAAAATTCTTTTAACGATTACTCATTCAATTGCTTCTTCAGTGGTCTATGTTCATAAAGTTTTCTTATGTAGTCTCTTAACGTCACACGCATCTTTAACAGACTTTTTTTTACTTTTCGCTTGACATAAATCTGATTGGTGCAGAAAGAGTTGTTGAACAATGCTGCCTTTAATCGAAACAACATTGCAACAATTTATAGTAAAGTACCACGCTCATCGAACCTTGCTCGTCAAAGCAAGATCTTACTCGGTACATATCTCATATATGAGTGGAATTAAGAAACTATTAAAAGGGATTTAATGTACAAGGAAAAAATCTCTTGTAAGTTTGTCTTCAAACATGACTTGGAGTTGCGTTCGCCGGCGTTGGAATATCAGTCAAAGCTACTTTTCGGCCTCTCTCTGACCGACTATTCTCAGCAAATTTGATGCTTCCTTCGTGCAATCCTTGTTGTTTCTCGTTCTCCGTCCATTCGGAACTGTAATAATATTCTTCCTGCGATCTTTCTCCATCGCTCGACGGCCTTAAAAACATGCTTCCCCATTGCGGAAAATGTATAAACGCAACCGGGATCGTGCACAGAACTGCCATAACGCCCATCAACGAGAGCCCTTCCGCTGTACTAAATCTCGATGATGAGAAGAAAAGCAGTTGAGTCAAACCGGACCCAAAGTTTCCTCCTGCGCCGGTTAGTCCCGATATGAGCCCTAGAGAGCGGCGCGAGACAAAAGGCGCAACCCCGAAGAGGGCTCCACAAGCTGCTTGTGTACCGATTGAGAAGAGCACCATTGCTAAGATTGCTATGGGAAGCGTACTAGCTCGACCTAGCCAGATACAGAAAAGAGCTCCTACGGTTTGAAAGATCCATAAGGTCCATAACCGGCCTCTCATTCCAAAAATCCGAGCCGCTACATCAGAAGCGTAACCACCGAAGGGACGGGCAATGAAGTTAGCCATTCCAAAGCTGGCTGCTACGATACCAGCTGTTTGAAGCTTAAGGTTAAACCTGATATATATATACGTAGATAACAAGAAACCAATGGTTATTACCTTGTGCTAGAAGTAAGTAAGATCCTCATTTGGATTTAAAGTATAAGAAATCAAACCTGTCGTAGAAATATCCGGAGATAACGTTGTTGATAGTTAATTCAATTCCCATGGAAGATCCATAAAGAACGAATAAAATCCATGTTCTGTAGTTCTTCACAGCAAACCAGAAAACCTATAACAAGAAAAGCCTTTAGACACAAGAACAGTGCTAATGATTATTTAATTTGTATCAAATTTGTTGCTAACTATTAGTTATTGTCATTGGTTATAGGCAACTTAATCGCAACTAGCAATTATTTTTCTGAGTAGTTTGTAACTTTGCATCAATGCTAATTTTGAAAGATAGTCGCAAAGTTTGTTACGACTAAAATTTATTGCAAAATTTCATGACTATTTTAAATGTTTGCAAGATTCTTTTAATGAGATTGAGAGCCATATATATTGTTCTTGATCTGGATTTGCTATATAATCAAAGATGAGACAGAAATAGATATAGACAAATACCTTGGAGAATTTGTCTTTAGAGACTTGACCTCTCTTCTGAAGTATACTTAGGTTACCGTCAGGGAGATCTTGGCCGAGACTGAGGACGAGAATGCCCATAACAACTTGAAGAAATCCGGGAGCGAAGAAAGATATGCGCCACGCCATGAACGGAGTGGCTCCGGCGAGTTTAATGATGTGGAAGACCATCGGCATGAGGAGTTGAGTCACTCCACCGCCCATATCACCCCACCCGCCGGCACAGCCATTCACTAGTCCTATGATCTTACCGTTGAACATGACGCTGGTCCAATACTGGCACGACACAAACGTGGCGAGGCAGAATCCGATCATGAACCGGACGCCTAAGTATCCGCTGGGGCCACCCACAAATGACATTGAGAAGACGATTGGGGCTGTTAGCATGAGGGAGAAGGCAGTCCCATACCGCGCACCAAGGAGATCGCAAACCGCTCCCATGGCTAACCTTGAGAAAATGGCTCCAGAGACGGAGGCGACTCCGGCATTCCCAATGTCGGTTTTAGTGAGGTCGAGGTTGTCGCGGATGATGGGGACTAATGGTGCGGCAGCGAAGGTTGAGATGAAGCAAGTGAAGAAAGAGAGCCATCCTAAGTGAAATGCTCTCATGTGAGGTTTTGCAAATGAGAGTGGGTTGAACACTTTGGCACGATGTTCAGAATCAACGGGAAGGGCGAATTTAGCCGTTGGGTCGTCGGATTGGACGGTTTGAGACGAAGCATCGACGGAGAAAGAGAAGACTTGTTCTCTTGCTGTAACTCCATGCAAGGAGGTTCCAATGGAGCCTTCTTCATTAGAATGGTTGTGAGCCATTTTAAGGTGAGAGTGAGATGAAAGACTCTAAGTGGGAGAGAAGGTTATATGGTCTTTGTTGTGTTTTGGTGTAAGTTGGAGATTTGAGAAATGGAAAGTATATATAGAAGCCAGAGGGGATACCAATATATGGGGTAGGGTTAGGTGACTGGGTCCAATAATGAGATTTGAATAGTATAAGAAAAAATTAATACGGACTTTACCAATTTGTGAAAATTTTATAATTATTAACGGATAACAACATTTAATAGTAGGAGATGTGTCTTTAGTCAAGTGGTTAAGTCCATTTGACTCCGCCTTCTTCACCGGAGTTCGATTTCACTAAGTCGCGTTACTCCGCGTAGTAGGGATTGGCTATGGATCGGGCCTTGTCGATCCAAAGATGTCAAAAAAAAAAAAAAACAGCATTTAATAGTAATGGCAGAAAAATTATTATTGAAATTTGAAATAAACATATTATTTTTCTTGCCTAATGTAGCTACCAATACGTGCTTAATTATTATTTAAGTACGTTTTATACGTATACCACATCTGTGTTGAGTTTTGTCTGACACATGTGATGCAAGTATTTTTAAGAGCATTGAGTAAATCAGAAAAAACGGATCTATCCCTTTCTTATTTATGAATTAATTTTGGTTTTGATTTTAAAATATTTATCTTCGGAACCGTGAGGTTTTTTTTTTTTTTTTTTTTTTTTATCAAGTATTAAGTGTTTTCTTTTTCCTAAAAAAAGTTCAAGCAACTTTCGTAAGGTTGAAGGTTTTTTGGTCAGAAAATAAACTTTCTTTTTTTGATGAATGTAAAATTTATCAACCTATGCATCCTTTAGTATAAAGTTTTGAAAATGGAGAGAATAAAAAGAGAGCAACAACTTAAAGTCAGAAAATCAATTTTCACACTTTTGTTTGACAAATTTTCCTATTTAGTAACAACTTTTATAACATATATATATATATATATAGTCCAAAAAAAATAATATGTATTCTAATTTAAGTGAAATGCAAAAGAAAAATTTTTATTTTTCATTTTGCATAAAGTTTTTGTTAGATAATTAAAGAGTATGAGAAAGAAATGTACAAATACACTTGTAATTCTATTTGGGCTATTAGCAGCCAGCAGCCTGGCATGCTATAAATTAAAGAATGATTTTTGTGGATTTTCTTTAAAATGGCGATAGAGATACGAACGTTGACAGTTGGCATTGGGAATAGCTAAAAAAGCCTAAGAGGCCGTACGTATCAATGAAGGCAAAAAAGCGTCAAAATGTCTTGGATTAATGTTAAGTTGTTTCTTGAGCATTCCATGTGGTCGACTCAGCAAATGAAATACTCCCTCCGTTTCATATTACTTGTCGTTCTAGGTTATTTCACACAAATTAAAAAAACAATTAAAATTATTATTTTACCCTTAATTAATACATTATTTTGTTTGATATAAATAATTAATAAGCTTAAAAAGTAGGATTAAAACTGGAAAATCTGACATAAATGGAGGGAGTAATTGTTATCTTAATATAATTTCCTACAAAAATGCTCTAACGTTTCTGAATTTATGTGAATATATATTGTTTATTCATGGGTTATTATATAACTTTCCACCTAACAATGAAACGAAATGATAAGTTGACTTCCTTAAATTTTCCTTATATAATCTTGTGTCATCTCATTCTCAATATATACGCTCTAAGAACATGAATATCGGTTGAAATGTTGAGTATCTTAGACAAATCTTAGGATTAAAGTTGATTAAAAATAATCAAACCAACATCTTAAAGCTAAGATTTGTATCTAAGTTAAGATGTTTTTCTTAACTTAAGATGTTGCAAGGTGTCACATTGTGATTGATTAAAAAAACAAACAAAAGAAGAATTTGCAACTCATCAAGAAGCTTGCCGTAAAGATGTCGAGCGTACTTTTGGAGTTTTGCAAGCTCGATTTGCCACTGTAAAAAATCCGGCTCTTATTTGGGATAAGGTAAAAATAGGAAATATTATTCGAGCATGTATAATATTTCACAATATGATAGTAGAAGACGAACGAGATCGGTATACTCAGTTTGATACTACCGAATTCGAACAAGCGGAATCTGCAGGAAGTTCACATGTGGATTTCACATATTCTACAGATATGCCTTCAAATTTCTTCGATATGATGGCCAATAGAGGTCAAATTCGTGATCGAGGTATGCATCTACAATTGAAGAAGGATTTGGTCGAGCATATATAGACAAAATATTCCAGAAATTAAGTTTAAAACATTTGTGCTTTATGTTATTTATGTTATAAATTGTATCTCATGTATGTTTTAATTTTTTTAATTTGCAACAATTATTAAATTTTCTATAATTATAAATTTTATTTTTATATTAATATTTTTTTTTCTAAAAACCACATGTTAAGAACCTACTATTAATCACACAAAAACATTAACCCAAAAATACTATCTCTTACCAATCACTTTTACAAATATATTACTTAAATATTCCTAAAATTTATTTCTAAGATACTACCAATAATCATGCTGTAAAGTCTAAATAGTTATATCCGCAAATGCTTAAAATAACTATTCTATCGACAATTGTTGATGATATATTTGTACACTAAAGGTATCTTGTATTGTCTGCTATCATCAATAAATTTTTTGTAGAATAGTCTTATATTTTGTTTTGATCGCTCTATACTCGTCACATTTTGTTTTGGCAACTATAGATTTTAAAAAGTAGTTAAAGTCTTATAGGTTTTCGAATTAACCATCATTAAAAAGGTGAAATCTTTTCTTCTTGTAATGGTTTTAGTTTTATATACATATTTTTATACGTAGGGAAGGTAACTAAAAAAGTCCAATTATAGGTTAAGAAATTCAAAAATTGCGGCAAAGTCAAACAAAAAAAAATTGTCTCAAACAATCTTTCATTACGGGAGTAATGGCCCATTGACTTCTCAACTTTATTTGATGTTTATGGCTCAACTTGGTAGACTGCTAAGTTTAAAATGTATATGTAAAACAAATAACGCAAGTAGAGTATATTTCTTCATCAAATTACCATAGTAAAAACTTAATTATCTATGATTCATATTATTTTTTTGTGGAACTCTTTGTGTAAGAAAAAAACGTAAAGAGACAAAACAAACAATTTTGATAATTTCTTAACTTTGGCAATAGAAATTTTACAAAGAAGTGAAGAACTAAAGCTCTATTGGCCTAATGAAAAGCTATGCAAATTTATATTTCAGTTATTGTCTTTTCCTTATGTTAGTCCTGTTCAGGTTGTAATTTGTTTGATATAGGAAAAATACAACGAATAAGACAAATTAAAAGATTCAGATAAGTTTTTAGATTGGATTTTTCAATTTGGTTTGGATTTCGTAGATACGGGCTTTTGAAGTGAACATCACTAGTATAGACTTCAAGTGGCTTAATTCAAAAGTAAACGGTGTGAATAGACTAGAGTCAAAAGTTGTAGGTTAAAAAGAGATTTACTTTTTATTCAGCGTGAATAAATTGGACTCCTTTTTTGTAAAATTTCATCAGAAATTTTAGTTCATATAATAGTAGCTCCAATGACGGCAAATTTCAGGTAACAATGAACGAGGGATTATTCACCAGAAAAGTGGTTGATACTTAAATTTCTGATAGGTGCTAATTATTGACTTGCTTAAATACATTAATGGTAGCTTAATTGACTTATCTGTTAAAGTACTACTTTTTAAAACCGTACAGATCACAGCATTGGGTTCTGTCCTTATGATGCGGAAGATGCACGTCCAGTCTCCTCTCTGACTGTAATCCTCATCATTTTACATATCTTGTTATCGTATGTAAGTACTAGTTAAAAATGAACTAAACGGATATAATATTTTTGTTATGATTTGGTAATACAATAACTATGATGAGCAGAATGAAACAAAAGTCGATTTCCAACAACGAGACTAAAAACTGTTTCCTAGTTTTCATTTTCGGTATTCGACCCATAACTCCACAGATAATTGCAGACCACATATTATATATATGAGAGATAAGCAAAGATATGATATGTAAAGAATGATAATCCTGTAAATAAGTTGTGGGGTTTAGTTAATCTATATATGTGCACACAACAAGAAAACATACATCATCATTATGTTTGTGTTTTCACAAAGCAAGCTCCCTCAACAAAATTCACTATAGCCAATATGGTTCCGCCACTTTTAATAAGAACCATCTGAAAGTAAATCATAGGATTGACTTTTGCTGAACATTTTACTTGATTGGCCATTACAAAATTTACATGACTACCATAAATTTTCATACTAGTTTAGTTTAGATATGAGATTATCCGGTTGGAAGGAATTGCCGGAAGGCCCGCAACAAAAGTAATATTAGTGTGGGCTATAATAAACTGAAATCTAAATGGGGTGAATGGGCTTCCTGAAAAGTCCATACCACACAGTGTTTTGAACATTGAATATTGAGTTATATTAAAACAAAAAATGCCACATGAGCTAGAGAAGTGATCTAATTTGGCTCGATGTGATATTTTGAACACTCACTGATTATGGTACAAGAAACTAGTATACGCTGAGTTCGCAGCTCAAACAAATTAATCGACGTGATACTGACAACAAGTAATAAAATTTTAGAAACAAGTAATATAATTGTTTCGAAATTACATAAAGAGTATAGCATATCTCTTTTAAATAAATTAAACATGTAATTCGATCAACTAATTACACATTTGGAGCAATAGCAACTGATACACAACACATTTAAAAACTCTTAAACGTGTTCCGGCGTAGCAGAAGGAGGAGATGGTGCAGAAGCCACGCGCCGTCCACGCTCCGATCTACTATTGACGGCGAACTTTAAACTCCCTTCATGCATACCCTTTTGCTTCTCCGGCTCTGTCCACTCTTTCATGTAGTAATACTCCTCCGTAGACTTCACTTCATCTTCCGTGGAAGGCAAAAACATGCTTCCCCATTGCGGGAAATGCACTAATGTGACGGGTAATGTACACGCCATTATCATCACCCCCATCCACGTGAGCCCTTGTTCCGTAGAGAAAGTTGAGGTCGAGAAGAATACAAGCTGGGTCAAACCAGAGCCGAAGTTTCCTCCGGCTCCAGTAAGACCAGAGATGATGCCTAAGGACCGGCGTGAGATGAAAGGTATGATGGCAAAGGTGGCTCCACAAGCGGCTTGAGCCCCGAGAGAGAAGAGGATCATGAAGACAACCGCGGTCGGGAGCGTCGTGGCTCGGCCTAGCCAAAGGCAGAAGAAACCGCCTAAGGTTTGGATGATCCATAGGGTCCAGAGACGGCCTCTCATGCCGAAGCGTCTAGCGGCAATGTCCGACGCCCAACCACCAATAGGACGAGCAAAGAAGTTTGCCATACCAAAGCTTGCCGCGATTATACCGGCCGTGTGAAGCTTAAGATGGAACCTGCAAAAATGGTCGTCATGTATATTGAGTCTTTCTTATCCATAGACGTAATTTATATATTTGAGGTCTAACGGGTAACACAAAAAAATGAAGGTAGTGGATTTACGAAAACTAAGAAATGTAAAGAAATTTCATTTTCAGTAGAAGAAATTAATGTTTTGGCTAAAAATATTGGTGGTAAGTAGCTCAATAATCGAGCCATTTGAGCATGCAAGGTATCAACAACTACTCGACTTTGAGTTTTTATTGTCTACTATAGTTATTAGTTGTCACTTAATTAACACGGCGACCTTATTGTTATAATATAATTGATTTTAATTGACAAAACCTCGTATATATATATATTGGTATAATACACTTGTACTATGCTCAGATCTGACTATGCTAAAAGCAATCAAACCTTATTGTTGCTTGTTTATACTTTAGAGACTAAAGGATTCATTCAATAAATACTAGTTTTAATAATTATATACCTGTCGAAAAAGTACTCAGCGATGACGTTATCCGTTGTGAGCTCTACTCCCATGGAGTATCCATATAGCAGCACGAAAACCCATGTCCTATAGTTCGTGATTGCGTACCATAAAACCTGGTAAAGTTTTCCACCAGAAAACTGTGAGTCTTAACCAAATAGAAATATCTTAAACAAAAGAAAAAATGGAAAAAAATCTAAGGAGTATAATTCTATTTAGAGATGATATTATAATCACTTAGGTCTAAGGATTCCGCTTTTCTATATGAAAACGTATGTAGATCTTCATTCTTTTTTTCTTTAAGTTAGTTGAATTGTTTACTTGGTTTAATTTATTGCCTCTATCTAAATGTTAATCTAAGATCTATATTAGAACAGCCATTTATGTATATACCATGAAAAGTATATATAATTAGACAACGATCTGCAGACCCTAATATATAAGATTAAGAATCAAAGGATCCAAGAAGAAGTTAACATTTATTTCATTTAAGTACTAATTACCTTTGAGAACTTGTCTTTAGTAACAGCACCTTTCTTCTCGAGTGTGCTTCTATTACCATCCGGGAGGTCTTGTCCTAAAGTCAAGACCAAGATCCCCATGATGATGTGCATCCACCCGGGGACAAAGAAAGCCATCCTCCACGCCGTGAAGGACGTGGACCCTAACCGTCGGATGATCTCATAGACCATCGGCATGAGCAACTGCGTGACCCCACCGCCCATGTTCCCCCATCCGGCCGCTGTCCCGTTCACTAGACCTATGATCTGACCATTGAACATTGTGCTCATCCAGTATTGGCATGACACGAAAGTCGCGAGGCAGAACCCGATCATGAACCTCACCGTTATGTACCTATGGCCAAAATATTGTTAGATATCTACATAAAAACTAATCCATTATATAAATCACTTTACTTCTTATTAATTAATTTTGAGATATAATCCTTTGAGTCTTTAGAAAAAGGCTTTTAAGATTGGTTTACTAATCGTATATAACTTGTACATATATATAGGACAATCTCAAAATAAGTGAATTGTTACTTAATCTTAAGGTTTTTGCGCAATTTTACAATTTACAAGCATGCTTACCCGCCGGCATTAGCAACGAACGACATGGAGAAGACGGTCGGAGCAGAGAGCATGACGAGGAAAGCGCAGCCATAACGTGGCCCAAGGAGATCACAAACAGCTCCCATAACAAGCCTAGAGAAGATACTGCCAGAGACAGAAGCAACACCAGCATTTCCAACATCTTGTCTGGTAAGATTAAGGTTATCTCGAATGATGGGGACAAGAGGAGCAGCAGCGAAAGTGGAAATGAAGCAAGTGAAGAATGAGATCCAAGCAAGATGGAAAGTTCTCATGTGTGGAGCTTCAAAGGATAAGAGTTTGAAGACTTTGGCTTTGTGTTCGGTGTCCACGGGGAGAGAGAATTTTGCTGATGTGTCGGAAGGAACCACCGGAGACTCGACGGAGAATGCATAGCTTTGTTCTCGGCCGGTGACTCCGTGCATTGAGCTTCCCGGTTCACCAAAACCATCAGCCATTTTGTATTTGTTTTTTTTTTGTTGTTGCTTGTGGTCGTGTGTTTAGGGAACAAGGAGAGAATGGTTTATATAGAGATACGAAGGTTGACTTCGTAAGAGCCGATGGAGAATCGAAAAGGCTATAATAAGTGGGATCCGTTTTACGTATATGATACTATAATAGTAGCGTTCTTAACGATAATTAATTATTCAAAGTTGTTTATGTAAGAGTGATTACAATTATACAAGTTGTGTCTTTATATTAATAGTATGGAATATTCACTTTCGCCGCGAGCATGCATACACGAGAATTTAGCCTGCTCATACGTCCCAAAGGTTCACTTTCACTTAGATTCCAATTTAGTATTTATCAACATGATATTACTAAACTGTCCATATCTCGGATTTTTTTTTTCTTTTCAAAGGAAAATACTACAATACAGAAAATCCTCCTTACAGAGATTACTATAAGTATAATAAAGATCGGTGGTATAATTTGAAACTCTATATGTCGCACAATGTAGTCCCTTTTGTATAGATTCCTTTTCTTTCTAAGGGTTTTTCCTTAGATAAAAATAATTAAACAAGAGTCTTACAGAAAAAGATCATTTAATACAAATATATATATATATATATATATATATATATATATATATATATATATATATATATATATATATGATCATAAGTTTATAACTATAGCTCTAATCATGGAGTAAACTCACGATATTTTATTAGGTGGGTTTTAATTCCTTGAAGTTTGTAAGCTTACAATAGACTTCGGAGATTAATTTAAAATTTGTCATTTACAATTTTTTTTGGTAATGAGCTTTTTCTACATGATGGGATGCAATAATCAAATCCATATTCATACATGTGAACGATTCCGGTGGGTCCTTCCTCTCTATGCGACTATGTCTTTGCATGAATTCAAAGGTTCCGTTCGATAAAATTTTAAATTTGTTAACATAATACTATGGTGTTATAGAAAGAAACAAAATATAGAGATTCTCACTTATTAAACTATAGTTGTGATGATGTAATCAGATCCCTAATTATGCTTAGGAAGATTGTAACAGCAGAATAACAGTTGTACTTTCACAATTAAAAACCTTTTTTCTTAAGAAACCCGGAGGAAACGTGCAACAGTGCTATAGTTTGATCTTTTTTACTTTGTAACAAAATCAAATTCTACATGGCCAGAAAAGAACCATATCAATCCTTCGATAACCATTTTTCGAAAGATTAATCTCCCAAATAGCAACAGATAAAATTATAATGGGTAACCGAAAACTTTTTTCTAATTTGCAGTTTTGTGCTTTGTTTTTTTTTTTATATAAGAGAAATTTTTATTAAAATAAATATATTTTGCATAAATTATTTTGTATGTACAAGTTGTAGAATGATGAGTTATCTAAATGACGTATGATCATAATTCATAAACATATATTTAAACTGGATCATGAAAGTAATTTCTGAAGAAAAGATAGAAGCCAAAAACTACAAAAATTAAGAATCTTATATTGTCAACTACAGGTAGCAACATGCTAGTTACGATGCCAGCAGATTTACAGGCGTATGTACCAAAATGTGAATTATACGTGTCTCTAAGACTAAAGTGGTCCAACGATTCCAAGCCAGATTCTCTGGATTCCATTAGATTATAGAACTAAATTCGATGATGCATCTTATATTATTTTCTCATCGAGTTCATCTTAAGTTTAAACTTTAAACCATTATATACAATTATAAATCAATTACGGAATTTAATTTTTGACAAGGCATTTGAAAACAATTCCAAAATGTCCACATATATAATTTGTTTTTGTCCTTTTCCATCCCAATTCCTTTTGGAATCTATACAGCTTTATGAATTTATGATACATTTATTTTTTTGTTCTCATGCAGGCCATTGCGACCTCAGCCATATTTACACACTTTCATTTTTCAGTTCATTGCTCAACATTTAAAGATAAACTAGCACTAACTACAATTATCTAGTTAAGTACTGTATGAGTTAATATTTTTACCCATATGTTCAAGTATTTTGTGAAGAGTTTATTCTTACCTTTCTATTTACTGTTTTTCACTTAAACGTAAAAAAAAAAAAAAACAATTTTTGGGTTCATCCCTAAGGGTGAACTTCTCTTATTCACCCCCTCTTTAAGTAGCCAATCAAAATTTACCACATAATCTAATTAAATAAATAAAAATAATTAATATTATCTATAAAAAACAATTCATTAAAACTCTCTCAATTGATTTAATTATAAAATCTAAACCCTAACATTTATCTTATAAACCCAAACCGACGTAAAATTTCATGTAATTGTAAAATCTAACCCTAACCACTATTTTATAAACCCAAACCGACATATAATTTCATTTAATTGTAAAATCTAAACCCTAACCACTCTTTTATAAACCAAAAGCGACATAATATTTTGTTTAATTGTAAATCTAAAGCCTAAACCTCATCTATAAACCCAAATCGATGTAGAATTTTGTTTAATTGTAAAATCTAAACGCTAATCACTCTTTTATAAACTCAAACCGACATATGATTTCGTTTAATTATAAAATTTAAACCCTAATCCATATTTGTAATCCCAAACCAACATATAATTTTGTTTAATTGTAAATCTAAACTCTAATCACTTCTTTATAAACCCAAACCGACATAATTTTGTTTAATTGTAAAATATTTAACCCTAATTCAAATTTATAAACCCAAACCGATATATAATTTTGGGTAAACCCAAGAGTTTTATTTTTAATGAATTTATTTGTTTATTTATTTAGATAATATTAATTATTTTAATTTATTTAATTAAATGACATGGCAAATTCTAATTGGTTAATTAAGAGGGGATGAACCCAAGAATTGTTCAAAAAAAAAACAAATTAATAAAAAATATTAGGGTTAAATATTTCTGTCAAATGTCATGAATACAGAAAATATTAGAACCAACTTTATTTCTGTCAAATGTCATGAATACAGAAAGTGACATGAATTTGAATAACCCTGATACTCTATTTGTTTGCAAACGCTCAATTACGTAGAAATTTATAAACTGGAGTCGTCAATGTTAAGATCGAAGACAATAAAATTGAAGTACAGTATTTACATTTGGGATCAAGTTATAATCTAAAGCCTTGAATCATTAAAAAGAAAAAGAAAAAAAAAACAAGCACTTTATAGACCCCCAAATTTGTGCAAGTTCGAGTTAAGACTATACACACAGTCACATACACACATAAAACTTAAACTAAAGACTAAAACCAGAATGCTTTATCAAGAGGGGGGAAAAAAAAGAGACTAAACCAGAGAAATATCAAACTAAGGAATTTACTAGCAAGTAAAGCAAAAGATCATGGGGCACCCAAGAGAATCGCATCACCCAAACCCGACCCATGTTTTCCAATGGCCGAGATGCTTAGAGAACGTTTCCTCATCTTTTCTTTACCCAACCAGAGTCTTGTGTTCCCGTTCTCGCATGTGAGCAGTGATGCGCATAGCTGAAGCGGCTCGACAAGCTGCTGGTTCGCGGTCCGCAGAAAAAGGTCTAAGTTTTGTATGTACTTGTCTTCTTTTGTTGCTTGCTTGTGTTTTTTTTCAGACATTATTGCAATCGTATCTCGTGACTCTTCCTCGTCATCCGTCCAGTAGTTTTTGTCTTCCATTGCAAGATCATCGTACTCTTCATCTGACTTTGTTGATTGCTCATCAACCGAACCCACCTGTAGAGATTACCGCAAGAATCTTATTAAATCAACCACAAGGCCTCAGGGTTACCACTTCATTGCATATGAACACATAAATGAGTAAGAAAACTTTACCTCGTCATGGTCTCGCTTGTTATCGTCATCGCTAAAATCTGTATCTGGCTCGGGAGGATCATCCTCGACTTCTTCATCGCTCCCATGCACCGACTGATCCTCCTTAAGCTGTTAGGAGAGAAGATACAGAATCATTAAACAACTTTCCACATACGAATCACACGAGAGAGAATAGTTTTAGAGATCACACGAGAGAGAATAGTTTTAGAGATCACACGAGAGAGAATAGTTTTAGAGTACCTCTTTAGAAGTTCCTTCAGACATCCTAGGCGAGCTGCAGCAAGAAGAGTAATACCGACTGCTAGTTTCAGCCACATCAGCTCTAGAGTCATCTACACTCCCAGCGCGGCTCGTGGCTCCATCACTAGGCCAAGCACTGATCCCAAATAGACCAAACTGAAGATTTACTGGTTCGGCTTTCTGTAGGTATCCATAGACCGGGTGCTCCATTCCATTTTCTTCCATCATCTCATTACAAAAGACTGGCTTTCCGCTCTCATCAACCTTACCACTAACAGGCCAAGTTCTTGCGAAAGTGCCATCAGTATTGAGAAGAGCCATTAGATGCCGAGAAGAACCTTTTCTTTGGATCAGCTGAAACATTCCTTTGGAACTCAACGAATTGGCAGTACACTGGTTTCTGTACTCATCATCGATCACTGAGACAGTATTGGTGGTAGCATCATAGAGCTGCTCTCCTGCTTCTCGCCTACGCAGGCAACTGAAGACTGTCGCGTGGATCGCAGCCACACTCTTGTCGACATTGGTATTGTTTATCTTGGGAACTAGGTGTTTGTCAGCTCGTTTACAAAGGTAATCCTGTATTGTTCTGATGTTACGTATATATTTTACATACTTGTTTTTCTCTGGGTCCAGGGTCATGTACTTAGCTCTAACTGCAAATCGTTCCAAGTGTTTCTCCTCGTTTGCGATGTATACCATGAAAGGAACTATCGAAGGATGCTTTTTCATTAGTCCCATCTGCAAGCAAGGAAGAAGTTAGAATTATATTTCACACTTACAAAACCAAATGTGTTAAAAGAGAACAAATTGGGGCTTACCACAAAGTTGAGGCTTAAGTGGACACCTTCAACAACAACAGACTCATTCTTTTCTTCCCATGCGGTAATGAGCCTATCGAGATTGTCAATAACCATTTCACTTTGAGCCTTAAATCCTTCTACAGCCATTTGCTTGGGACTTAACAATACAGGGGTGGTTGATTTTGATCCAACATCAGTCTGTTGAGTATTATTAGCCTTCACACCTTCAGAGGCCTTCGCTTTTTCGTTCTCAATACTATCCAATCTTTTGGCTCTTCTTCTTTTGGCTTTTGACTCAGCAACTGCCACGGGGTCAAGGTACTCTCCAGCATGGTATGTTGAAGCCCATAGCAAAGGATTCTGCTTTTCATCAACGAAACTCCTCATCATGTGACGGATTGAGTCGGTTGAGACCACCGTTGTAATCCCAAGCCTACTTCCCT